GTCTTGTTTCTTTTTCAATGCGGAGCAGTTCGCACTGGGGAGCGAGGGTCCCGTCCCGGCATCTGTCCAGGGGAGCGCTCACTTCACTTTCTGGAAAACCTGGACGCAGACCTCATCTTCAGCGGTCATGCGCTGGGGAAAGGGGGGCGAAAGATGAGTTTAGGCTGGATCCCTTACTTCTCTCCCTCCCCAGCAGCAGCCGCTGCGGTCCTGCCTGCCCTCCTGCTTGCAGGAGTCTTGCAGGCCACATGCTGCTGCATGCCCTTCCCCACCCTCCCAAAGCTCCAGTGGGTCAGGCTGCAGGGGCAGGGAAGGGCCATTGCCTTTGTTGAGCTGTGTTAACTTTTAAACCCTGGAGGCGGATGTTTGTGTGAAGCGGTGGCTGGCCCCCCGGAGCTGGGACTTAAGTCTGAGGGGAGCTGGAAGGAAGCTGGCTCAGAGCCCGCAGCACCCACACCGTGTGTCACCCGCCCACTGCAACTGGGATTTAGAGCTGTGGTGGACCCCTCCTCACCAGATGCAGCTGGTCCCCCTCCAGCCAGTGCCTCCAGCCTCGGTTCCTCTTCTCTCCTAGCTGCTCACACACCAGCTGATCCCCCTCCCAGGAGACAGTTGTCTGAAAAAAAGGAGGAGAGGGGAAGACATGGTCCCAAGACAAGCAGGTCCTGGCAACAGAAGTTTCCAGTGATGACACTATTTCTCTCAAACACGTTTTCAAATGCAGTCCCTGATCTGCTGTCTCTTTGGTGGCTCCTTGGGACTGATGCTCTTTGTGGGAGGTGAACGACCCTCTGGCTTCCAAGTGCAACAGAGTACGGCCAAGTTCTGTCTTTTCAGGGCTTTGCTCCAGAGGATAGTACCCTTTTGGTCCCAAAGTACTGGGGTTCTGGCTGTTTAGTGCTCATCCCCTTTGGTGTAAGTGATTTACTCATAAAACCACTTATTCCTGGACCTGCAGGGGCACGCCAGCTCTGGGCTGGGCTCTCATCTGGTTTGTGAGTCAAAAGCTGAGCAAGCCCCAGTACGCTGTCAAACTGCACTGCCTGGGCTTCTCACCTGGCACTTGCGTCCATCCACGGGTCCCAGGTCTTCCTCAAACTGGACTCCTAAATCAAAATCCATAACATAGTCCCGCAGGGAGGTGATCGTGCGGATGACCATGTGATCTCCTGTGTGGATGATCTCTTTATCGGGCTTCAGGAGGCAAACCAGTTTTCGCAGGACCACGTTGATATCTGGAGGATGAGAGGGAGGGGAGATCCGTGGATGGCCTGGGCCCCTCCTCTAGCAGCATCCCCGCAGAGCTCCTCCACTCTTTTGGCCAGGGACCCCCAGCCATGATACCTCCTCCCCACTCCCGTCACAGTGCAAAAGTGGTTGCAGACAGAAAGACCAGAGGGTTCCCAAACCCCTTCCTCCCCTTCCCGACTTCTGACATTTTTGGAGGCAGAAGGGAGCAAAAGGGGATGAGGAGGGTGGAGTTACCTAAAGCACGCAGGTAATTGTCCATGTTCTCCTGGGAGACGAAGCGGTAATACCCGGTGAGGTTGGGAGGCATCCCGGGGCAGAGGGACGGGGCCGACGGCCGACGGAAGAGAGAGGGCAAGGAGCGGGACAGGCACGGAGCTGGGACCAAGCTCGGTCGCCG